TCATTTCAAAAGCATTGGTGACAGATTAGCAACCTCAAGTGATACTTTCATCCTCGAGTGTATGCACGAACTGAACGTGCATAATGTTAAAAGATTGAATCAAAGGTTATGCAGACTGGGTCATGTCAATGTAGAGGATTGTGGTAACCTTAGGGAAAAGAGGATCGTATGAGTTCATTTTTTTACAAAGGTTTTCCATTCACAAGGCCCATATTGATGACATTTATTTTACTTGGCGTATAGATTTCCAATTGGTGTGTCCCGGGGATTCAGGAAGTCCGATGGTCTTCTATACTCAGGCCTTGAGGCAATGGCAGATTGAAGGAATCGTGAGCCACTATCTCAGCAGGGAGCTCTGCTCCATGAAGCGTCCAGGCGAATATGGCATTTTCAGTAGAGTCAACCGGTCAGATGGCATTTATTTCGCTCTTCAGTTTCCTTCCATTGTTGAATCCCATATATCCCCAACCTTCAGTACAGATTTAAATTCTCACGTCTTCTCCATTCTCCCTTCAGGTTTCTGGATTGGATCTTTACAAAGATTGATGACGCACGATGAGGACCCTCTGATTATTCCCCAGAATGTCATGAGTTTCACTCATAACTTGTGCTATGCAAAATAAAAAAAAAGAAACATTTTTAGCGTTAAACGCATGAAAGGTTTGACTTTGTGTGTGCCTATATCACAATTTAATAATGTTACTGCTCATAAGAAGACAAATGTCCATGACCGAGAGCATCACCTTGACTGGGTGCAGTCACTTTTCAGCTCCAGCTGCGGCTCTTCATCGGCGTCTATCCACTGACGCTTGCGGGTATGGTTCGCGTACGTCACCCACTTCTCATCCCCCGTGACGAGGTCGTCGAGCCAGTCGAAGCTCCGTCGGAGGGAGAGAAGTGCACAGGTGTTGGAACGTTGCTCGAAATCCTTCCTTGTCGAAGCATGGGGTATGCAACTCCCGAGCTTCGAGATCTTCTCGATTGTGGACAGGCGGTGTTCGATAGCGAAGCGGGTGCACACTAGGACGGCGCTCATGTTGCGAATGGTCATGCGGGGAACTGCTTTCACGAGTTTTAGTAGCGCCCCATTGTCTAACTCCGATGGGCGTCCCGAACTCGGCTTGTCTTGGACACTATAGTTTCCGGACCTGAAGCGATCGAACCGATTGGAGCATGGCTTCTTGCTGATGACTCGTTCCTCAAATGCGTGGCACAGACGACGATGGGCGTCTGCTGTCTTCTCTCCAAGACGAAACTCATCAAGGAGGCAGGTGAGACGGTGGTCACTTTCAAGGTCGAACTTCAGCTTCATACTTGGAGGTGAGGAGGCGAAAATAAACTGAACCTGCACGGAAAAAGGGAGACTATTTATAGGCAAAGTGGGAAAATTCCAGAAAATTCGTGAGGCTTCCTAAAGAGAAATGGTGAAAACTGAAGACCTTTCTGGCCAACCCCAGATCATTGTGGACATGGAAGATAATCAACAGCGAGTCAATGGCTGGTTGCGCCTCCGGCGCTCCATTGTCCAGGATAGTGGTTCTTCCATTAATTCATTTTCAAAATGGCGAGAACGTATCAAAAGTATCGTTATATGCTTGAGTAAATGTACCTAAGTTCGAGATACCACAGATTCGATCCCCTTCACTCGATGCTATATGCTAAAATATTGCACACTCAACCGCATCGTGTTTATAATTTCGATATAGTGTAGAAAAGGACTGTGCCTACGTTAGAGGCCATATCGAAGCTATGAATATATTGGGGAAAAAATTGTGAAAAATCCCAATAGGTACTCTTGTATTTAAAACCGGAGGTTAACCATATTGCGTGCGCGAATGTGGCCGCTAATTTGGCCGAGCGACAATTCTTTTTTTTCGTTGAGTGCGTTTGTGACTGCTCTCCAGGCCAAACGCTTCGAGATATGAATTTGGGATTTCGACAGAACTGTTTCTTATCATCCGAGGAAGTGCCTTTTCGAAATGAAATTTGCAAATCAGCCTCACGAAAGGGAGGGGAGTCAACTTTTACAGAAAATCGCTTTCTCTCTCGTCTCGCCATCTCTGGGGAAAAGGAGGAGACGAGAGTTACCTTTTTACTCGCAAGGGAACGATGCCATTGTTCACTGCATTGCCTGGCGCCTGCTGCCGGGAATACAGGGATTTAAAACGTCCATGATGATATACGGAGCGGGAGAGTTCATCAAAGGTTGCATTGTTTTCCCGTATCGCAGATGCATTGGTGGATGACAAAACAAAGCATAATCTACGGGACCGGAACCTAGCAGTAAAAGAAAATATGGTCTGCAAATAGTGATGGTAATGTTCGTTGCAAGTTCCCTCTCTTCCTTTGTAACGGGTCGCCGACCCTCAAGTCGACCATGACCGATGAACACAGGAGTTGTATCGTTAAATACAGCATCCATTTTGAAAAATGGAATGTCAATAAAGGCAACCTTGTTTATAACGAACCTCGGTTATAACGACGATTTTTTCTTGGTCCCTTCGATGACGTTATAACCGAGGTCGAAGTCTCCCATCCCTCTCCTTCCACTTGAGTAATTTTATTATTCCGAAAATCCATTATCAAGATGCTCTTACTCTTGAGGGTTGGGATTGAAGCTATTTAATTCCCAGATAGGTCGAGACAGTTCAGAAGATTCAATGCATGAAGAATATGGAAGGGGAAGTCTTCCAATTGCCCAGATTGAATGGTGAGATTCACTAGACTGTTTTCATATAGAAGGATAGCTGATGGGGGGGATTTTCTTTTGAGGAAATGTAAAATGCAGACGAAGGAGCCGATTTCCACATCCTGGAATTTCAGATCTCCAAAGATTCCTATTGGGATATTCTCATCCGTGAACATCGGTGCGTTGACCATACGGAATGCCCTATTATGATAAGAAAAAAAAATGAATGAAATGACTTTGGATGACCTCAATGAAAGTCTATTCAAACTGGTGTCAATGATAGTTCCACTAGCGTATGCAGTAATCCAAATAGGCAAACAGTGCTCGACTTGCTCTGATTTGGACCAACTTCTTTTGCTATACGTCTAGAAATTTCGGATAATCGACATTTCTTATAAACGTGGATGGCGATTAAATTTTTTTTTCAGAAAATGATGTTTGATCAAGAGGGTAATTTGAATTCGACAGGGAACTGACATGGGCGGAGCTGAAGGTTGTTGGTATCCTACAAGAAGCATGATCGGTTTACAAAGGGAACAATAATCATCCATCAGCACGATGCTGTCAAGATTCCGTTTCCAAATTTGTTCACTCGATGGTGACTCTGGGCATCGCTATCAATGCAACTGCGCAGCATTTAAGACAATCGTTGTTCGGAAAATATATGTGGAATGGGTGAGCTTCCAAGCCAGTGGGATCGAGAAAAAAAAGGTTCTAAGGACTTCCAATAGCCAAGACTCCACTCCAATCAATTGAGCTTTCTTTCAGTACCACTTATTCCACGACTTTACGATGAAAATTTGATTTTTAAAAATCCTTCTCCAAGATAAAGTAAGACATAGATTCGACCTGAAAACAGATATATTTATGATCTCTTGGAGGTCTCCCCACCATGAACGTGCTAAAGCCGACCAACATAAAAATATTCGTAACATTTCGATTAATGACTGTAACAAAAAAGAAACCCTTGTTGTAATGCTATTTTCATATGGATCGTAAAAAACGATGTAAAAGTTCACTAAAATCATAAATAATGGATATTCGGCTTTCATTTTCGACATGTGATGATGACAATCTAATATCACAGATACAGACTATCGTGACTGACTGACTGACGCTTATTCTAACCATGTTCTGTAAAGGTTCTAGAAATCTGAAACTTGATACACGTGTACCTTTTGGGATGCAGAGCTCAGAAAAAAATCCGACTTTGGAGGTACATGCCCTGGGGGTATAAATTTTGGGGGGAAACGTTTTTCTTAAATATGTATTGTGACAGATGAGGATGGCTTTTAGAGAGACAACTGGATGTCTTGGGTTCGTTGGTGTAGTAGTAGCACATCTGACTGGAGGGGGAAGAGGTCCGGGTCCATTTCCAACCCTACCTGCGAAATCCTCCTGTTCCCAACTGTCATTGAAAGGAGCCTCACTATTAGACTAAGCTTGCTCAGCTTGTTTAATTCTACTTCAGAGGCAGAAGGAACAATCAACAATTATTGGGGGAGTCAGGTTTTTTTGTAGAAATTCTTTGAAGCAGGCATGGTTACAAGTAGAGGAGAATGGGAGGTGATTATGATTGTAGCAGTAGTTCTGGAATCATAAAATTTTCTACTTTATCACTGTGAAAGATGAAGTGCCAGGTCTTTTTTCTTTCGCAGGAAAAAATAAACATACAGTGGATTTATGAGCAGAGGAGTGTCTTTTGGGAAAAAAAGGGTAGAGGTTGGTTGCTCTGTAGGAAATCTTGTGTCAATAATTTTATTGTTTGATGGAATAGAAAATTGGCCATTGTAATACTGAACCACTTCTGGAAAGGGTGTCTGAGAACTGAAATTGAACTATATATTTTTTTAAGGATTTGTTCTTTGCTATGGGTGTTGGCTCCTGGAGGATTAGGCTTCAATGATGTGAAAATAGTAAAAATTGTCAATATGTATTAGTATTGTTTAACCCTTTAACTGTAATGAAAACATTCACCCTTTAGAGAAAGAAATGCCCACATTGCTTTTGATGCGTATATGTATCGTAAATTTTCTGTTCATTACCTTTACCACTGTTTGTACACGATAAATGTGAGACTTGAACCTTATTCTTCCACTATGAATTGAGAGTTTCATGGTACATCATACCGCCTGATAATAAAAAAGTCTGCACAGGGGTTCAAACTGCCAACATAAAATTCAGCAGGTCATGGGTTTAAATTCAACATAGAAAAAGGAGTGGTTTGCTGACATTAAAAAACTTCTTTACAGATGGTGGTCAAGCAGTGATCTCTGCTGCACCCCAGCTGAATGCTTCCCATGTATCTGCTCGAGATGGTGCTGATAGGTAAGCCACTCACCAACCCTGAAAATTCCTAGGCTGCAGCCCAATGTGAAAGTCTCATGTGGGCCTCTCTTCTCTAAGCAAGTGATGTGATTCCAATCAAGCATTATATATTTTTCATTTTCTATTCTCTCCAGTGATAAGAGGAGCCAATGGACTGAGCATAAGGCACCTGATGGTAGGACATACTACTATAACAGTATGACAAAAGAAAGCAGCTGGGAGAAGCCAGATGAACTGGAAACACCTGCAGAGGTAAACTGTTACTAATTTGATTTTTTTTAAAATGCCTTCTGAGTACTTTTGGGTAAGGTATATTATCATAATAAATCTTCATAGCTCTTGCTGTCGAAGTGTCCATGGAAGGAATACAAAGCAGAGAATGGCAAGACATATTATCACAATGTGGACACCAAGGATTCATCCTGGACATTGCCCAAGGAGTTGGAACTGAAAGCCAGGGTTTTGGCTGAATCAATGTGAGTGTCACTGTAAGCTGTTTCTTGTTTGCTTTTTCAGGGGAGATGCTCTGAAGGAGAGGGAGGAAGAGAAGGGAGGACGGGACAGCACGACTCCTCCAGGGGAAGGTGGTGAAGGAGAGAGGCTTGAAGAGGAAGAGGGGTATGAGGCTGCCTCACCTCACACTCCGAGCAGCCTTACTCCTGATCCAGGCACCATTTTCCCTCCTGCTGGCCATCTGATGCCATCAGAAACAAACAAAGGTGGTGGAAGCTCAGTCCTTGACCAAGCGATGGCTGCTACTCTGGCTGCCATACATATGCCAGCTCCTTTGACAACCAATGAAAGTAAGTAGTTAATTTTGGCAGGATGTTTGGAAATATTTCCATCTAGTCAGGTGTGGGAAGTGCTATGAGTTTTTTTTAATTTACTTATTTTGCTGAAGGAGATGAAGGGGAATTAGAAGAAGGAGAGGCAGAGGAAGAACAAGCTGCACGCCAGGTCACTACTACTCCTGATGCTGGTATTCATAGATCCTACAAAGACAAGAAGGAAGCCATTGAAGCTTTCAAGGAACTCCTCCGAGAGAAGGTGCCCAGTCCTCCCAAAATACGGGGAAATAATTAGCAATCTATCTCTCTCTGTCTTGCATTTATTTCTCTTTCCCTTCATATTTTGTAAAGGAAGTGCCAAGCAATGTGGCATGGGAGCAGGCTCTGCGGCTCATCAAGCACGACCCCCGCTTTGAGACCCTGCAACGCCTGAATGAGAAGAAGCAGGCCTTCAATGCCTACAAGACCCAGAGGGCCAAGGAGGAGAAGGAGGAGCAGCGTCTCCGTCTCAAGAAGAACAAGGAGGATCTCGAGCAGTTCCTCCTCAATCACGAGGAGATGAATTCCTACATTAAGTACTATCGTTGCGAGGAGCTCTTTGGGCATCTGGAAGTGAGTGCAGGCATGCAATTCTGTAAAGATTCCATATTTACATCATTATTTGAGATGTGTATGTTGTATTTGAGTATGGGATTATGCATTTGCTGTGCTGTAGTTATGTGATATCTCATTAATAGAAAATAGGAAAGATTTGTTATTACCTGTGGACTCTAAGGTGTCCCATTATTGTTCATAAGAACCTAACATGGGGAGGTTCCATTTTGAGTGAATGAGATGGATCCAAGGACTAAACCATGCCAGTGTTCTTACCATCAATGTCCTCCCAGGCCTCTCTATTATCCCTACCCTGATTTTCAAAGGAGGGAAGTGCCACCTTTTCTGGTAGGCTTACCTGTACTGTCTTCTCACCTGGAATCTCTCAGCACAATTGGGCATAGCATAGGCATTGGTGCATAGGCATGGATGAGTGAATACTGTAAAAAAAAAAAAAAAAAAAAGTTCCAGTTTCACTTCCAGTGAGGCACCAGTGGAGTAAATTCATATGGTCTTGAGGAGTGCAGCTTACTCTGCCAGGGGTTAAAAAAATGTCATGGTTCCATTAAAGTGGTGCTGGAAGTAGAATACGTTTTCAGAGAGAGATTTGACTGGGGTCGTCTCAAACACTGGTTCATGTGGTGACTTGCTCCATTATTTTGCAAACTTTTCAACTTGATGCTATGCTTGATGCCCTTTTATACTGCTGGGAGTCATTGCCCAAAATATATGGAAAGGAGAATAAGTGTGTAATGTCATACAACTCATACTCCACCTGGAAAGATATCAAGTTCTATCATGTTGAAATTTGGAAAGCCTCCATCTATTTCTTTATCTCTTATGTACTTTTCCAATTAATTTTTTCTCTATGGTATGATAATCAATAATAGGTGCAATAATCAATGAGTGATTGTCACGTTGCAGGCCTGGAAAGCTGTGCCGGAACCAGAGCGCCGGGACATCTATGAGGACGTGATTTTCAACCTGGCCAAGCGAGAGAAGGAGCAAGTGAAGCTGCAGAGGAAGCGAAACATGAAGGTCCTCTCCTCCATCCTGGACTCCATGGTGGACGTGACATACAAGACAACGTGGCAGGAGGCCCAGCTCAGCCTTGTTGACAATCCCTCGTTCGCCAACGACAAGGACTTGCTCCGTGGGCTTTTCTATCCTTCTCGAATGGGTCTTACAAAGGAATGGGAAATGTTAATGGGATGATGAATGTCAGAACTGTCTGAACTGTCTAATGCTAGAGCTTAACATGACTGGATGCTTCTACCCTGATATTTCGTACCACATGCATGTAAAACTGTATCTGGCACATCATTAATTGATGCAATCAGCCTTTTCGTTTTTCCCTCATTAGTTTATCAGATAAGAATGCCAGTGTGCTGGATCTTACTTTTAATTCAGTATTTGATCAGGTTTTTCTCATTTGTAGGGATGGACAAGGAGGATGCCCTAATTGTATTTGAAGACCACATTCGCCAGCTGGAACAGGAGGAACATGAGGAGAGGGAGCGGGAGAGGAAGATCCAGAGACGACAACAGCGCAAGAATCGGGACAATTTTGTGGTAGAGTTTCCCATTTGGTGTTTCCAATCGTAGGTGATGTGTTTTAGTCTATCATTTATTGTAACCCTGTCTCATTCTTGCAGACTTTACTTGATGATTTGCATGAGCAAGGGAAGCTGACATCGATGTCCCTCTGGGTGGAACTCTTCCCGACCATCTCAACTGACATCCGTTTCTCAGCCATGCTGGGTCAACCAGGTGCAAATTGCAAAAATAAAAATTCCTTTGTCCTGGGCATGATTCATGGTTTCATCAGTGTTTTTGGACTCTCTGGCAGGATCCACCCCATTGGACCTCTTCAAATTCTACGTGGAGGAGCTGAAAGCTCGGTTTCATGACGAGAAGAAGATCATCAAGGAGATCTTGAGGGAGAAGAATTTCACCGTCGTGGTGGATACGTCATTCGAGGAATTTGCCACTGTCGTCTGCGAGGACAAGCGGTCTGCAACCTTGGATGCAGGCAATGTCAAACTCACATATAATGCATTGATGGAGAAGGTGGGTTCCTCTAACTAGCCCGTATTCTTAGAGGTCTGCACGGCAAAGTTTCATTCTGTCAGCATTTGAACCCATGAAATTGGCCTGCCCTCATCTCCATCTGCTTCTCCTCCTTTGAAGAAAAAACTCTCTGCAACTGCAATAGCTGTGCATCCTTGTGTGCATCTGAATTATAAATTTTAAGCATGTAAAAATAATAACCTAAACAATAATCCAGTATCCTAACAAATTTTTTATTTTTCATTTCATTATTGGTCAATAATGCTCTCAGCTCTCAGCATAAAAAATATTTATAATTTGCATTGACATTATTCCTAATTGGTCATCCAGACATCTGAAATGTTTGCGCTTACCTGTTTCATGAAGATGATCTGCATATTAACAAAAAGCTTCAGAGCTGTTTTTGGTATTTGCCCATGTTTCCAAAATGGCTCTTAACAAATATGATACTGTTGGCTTTTGACTTTTGCCAAAAGTTCTCTGCACTTCAGTTCTACTGCCTCGCAGGCAGCTCTTGTTATCTTGCAGCATTATGTGTTGCATTATTGCAGCACAAGATCATGAGTGACATTTTGTCGAGGAAGAATAATTATTCCAAGTGCACATGACTCAACACAGAATGACATTCTTTGACAAGTTTTGTTTGAACGTACTAATGGCTAATTTGAAGTCTCTTTTTTTTTTTCCCTTGCAGGCTGAAGCAAGAGAGAAAGAGCGTCTGAAGGAGGAGGCACGGAAGCTACGAAGGATGGAGAACACCTTCAGAGCACTCCTCCACTCGGTGAGCATGAAGCCTGACTCCACCTGGGAGGAGATCCGCCCCAAGATCGAGTCTGATCCTGCGTACCTGGCCTTCACGCTGGAGTCGGAGCGCCAGCGCATCTTCAAGGAGTATGCCCTGCATCTGGAGGAGGCATGTGCACACCTCCACCCCCGGTCCAAGCGGAAGAAGAGGCACGGCCGCTCTCGTCGGTCTCGCTCGCGGTCCCGATCTCGGACTCGGTCCAGGTCCCATTCGGTACGTCGGTGTTCTTCGGTTCATGTTGTTTTGAGCTGTACATGTGGTAGGGACCAGGGGTGCATTGGACATAAAATAGTGGTCCTGCTGTTGCATTGTACTGCATCACTTTTGAGCTTTTTCATTACACTGGATATATTGAATTATTCCTCCATTGTGAGGGAAGGGTCAGTTCATGTCTCCTTCAACTTGGTGCTTCAGTTGCACTGTCTACTCTATTTGGCACTTTTGGAATGCGCTTGATGGGGAGAATGTGAATGTGGGTGAATGTGGACCCATGGTGGGACATGTGAACGTGGGTGGTGCAAGCAAACAAAGCACTCAAGTGCTTGTGCTCATACCTTCATCAGGCTTCTTTGTCCTGTTCAACCCATGCGAGTTGCGTTTTATGAGGATTTCGGAAAGTGTATGTCTTGGAGGCTGATTGCATGAGCAATCATTACAACGCATTGACCGCGAGGCCACGCAACCCACAATGATGCAATCATGGATTGATGAAAGTGCATTTAAATGAGCATGGTATGGATTCGGTCCTCTAAATGGATCTATATGACCATCCCCTGATGTAAGGAAAAGCCAATATAGCATAGTAATTCTAGTGGCATCATCAACTTCGTTGCAGTGAGAGTGTTCTCTTTCCAGCATGTGTATATATCTGGCATTTATGAGAATCTGGCCTCTGGAATATGGATGCCAGGAGCCATGGATACAAGAGCTAAGGGAAAAAAAACCATATCACAAGTTTCCATGCCAAGCAAAGAACTATGTAAGGAAAGAGATGCTCAATGTCCCTAGGGTTCAGAGTCCGGGGAGGAGCGAGGCAGCCGATCTCGACGGAGGAAGAGACGCTCCCGATCCAGCAGCTCCTCCTCGTCCAGCAGCCGGGAGTCAGAGGAGGATCGCAAGCACCGGAGGAATCGGAAAAAGAGGAGGAAGAGGGTAGGTGTGAGATGGCGATGGTGAAAGGCCGGAGTTTAGGATGGGTGCTTCGGTGGCAATCTGAGGGCTGTTGATGCTGTTTCATCTTAAAGTCATGGGTCATTATAAAAGTCAAAGGTTTTTTTTTTATTATAAAACCTTAGTGTCAATTATGCCCTCTATGAGCCTCCAGGTTTTTTTGTGAGACCAAGTAAGTGCATTTATGTATTTCATGGATGTTCCTGAACTGCATTTTTCATTTTTTCTCGCATGCAGTCGAGCTCCAGCTCAGTATCGGACCGGGAACGCAGCCGGCGGGGAGGAAGCAACAAGAAGAAGAAGCGAGCCAAGCACCGCCACCACCGCAAGAAGCATGAGGGGGACGATGGAGAGGAGGGTGAGGGCCGGCGAGGGAAGGCCAGCCCCGAGGAAGGGGAGGTGTCGGATGAGGAGCAGCTGGAGGAGAAGCGGGAGCAACTGCTCCGCCAGCTCCGGGAGGATCCTGACACCGAGATTTAGCCACTTGATCCTTCCCTGGGATTCTCGATCGATGTCTGTCTGTTGGTGTTTGTATGTTTGTGAGAATGAAGTCATCTCTTCTTTTTGTGGAATGTGCTGTTCTCTGATGGAACTCTCTGATGGCAGCCACGGGAATGAATGTCTTGCATTCCTTGCTTTATGAAAGCAGCAAGAAGTGTTTTAAGGTTTCAATACTTTTGCCTTTGTAATCAAGTTTCTGTGATTGGCTGCAATCGAGTGTTCTGGAAAGCACTGGTGCCTCTACCTTCCAGTGTTTCAATTTTGAACTTTTGACTCGGAAAGGAGGATTCAGCAGAAAAGCTGCTGGATGAAAAGCAGTTAGGAAAATCTCCAGGTATTAAAGAATCTGATTCCAAGAAACAGTGACCTGTGGGGATGGTCAGGAAAGTCTGTCGTACTTCAGTAACTCGTGAGAACAATCATCTTGTATGTTTCAGGTAAAAAGGAAATATTGACTTAGGTGATAAACTGGCTGGTGCTAGCATTCATGCAGAGCAAAAAGTGAAAATGATTCACTCTTATTCTGTGTCTCTGCTTGGTAGGTGCAGTGGGTCTTGCCTCTTTTTTTTTCACTTTTCACCTGTCATTTGGTACAAAAATACCAATTTCACTTTTTCCTCTGAAGGAACATACGCACCAGTCACTATGCATGGAATAATAGTTGATTCCTGCCTGAAGCAAGCAAGGGATGAATTATTCCACTTATTTGTTTACTATGCTGATAAATTATTGCATTACAGCACAACAATGCACATTGTTAAATTTATATTCAGTGCTGCCATGTACAGGGTGCGTGAGTAGAATTGGCTTGGAAAATACATTAAGGAAAAACATCTCTAAAATTTCTAATTTTAAACATTTATTGAAAATTCCAGAAACAAGAGCAAGGTAGTGCTTTATAGATGGAACTTATTCAATAAAGCCACCTTCAGCATCAATCACAGCCTTCAGAC